GAATCTCCTACTTCCTTCCTCTCCATTGACAGCAGGTTATTGATCTTGGCCCATTTCTCAAAGTTGCCGCACTCTAGTTCCATCCACGCCACATCCTGCCCCCGGGCCCCAAGGGTCAGTCCCCCCACCCCCACCCCCAGGTTTGTGGATGGTGGTTCTACACACCCAGTTCCATGCCAGGAAGGGTGAGCACCCAAGATAGAGGCTGGTGTCCCTGATAAGGAAAGGCAGGTGGTCTGTGCCTGCAGAACCTGCCTTGTGGGAGGCTGGCTTCCATCCTGAAATGGGAACCTGCAGGAAATTGGGTGGCCTATCGGTACAGTGTTGGGATGGGGCTTCTCCTCCGTGCACCCTGCCTGTGCCCCTGCCACCCCCTGTTGTGAGCATCCAGAGGCCCAGATGAGCCTGATTCCCCCAGCTGCCCAGGTCAGGGCTGGCACAGAGCAGGTGGCAGTCAGTACTGGCTGCACAGCCGGGTTGCTGTGTTCCTTGCGTGCCAGGAAGGCTGCTTGGCTTCTCCATCTCCAGCGTGACCTCAAAAGTCAGAAGAACTGACTGACCAGTTGGAGTTGAATCAGCAGATCAATGCGGTGGGGATGGGGAACAAGGCACAGAATGTGACTTCAGGGGCCTTCAGTGCAGAGACTGGGAGCTCCCCTCGGGAAGTACAGGGGCAGGAGGTGGGGTGGGAGCCAGGCCCCCATTTCCCACCTTTCCCTCAGGTCTGACCAGGGCAGGATGGAGGTTAGGCTTCACCTCTGATTTCTCATGTGACCTCAGGCTAGTGACTGAGCCTGCTCTTCTGTACAAGCGGAACAATCATTCCTACCCAGCTCACCTTTCAGGGGGCTTATTGGGAGGACCAGATGAGGTCTTAGAAAGGGATTTGAAATTGTTATAGTATCAGGTCTAAATGTCTACACTTACACGGATGAGGAATGGGGGCGGCGACCCCTGGCCACATGCCGACTTCTGGGCTAGATGTGTGTGCAACCTCGCTGGTATGCAGGCCTGGCAGGCTGGGTGACCCCACGCCAACATTGTCTCTCGTGGCCACATTAGAAGTCATAACAGATACTCTCAGGGTCCCCCAAACTGTGAAGCACCTGAAGAAGGGGGTTAGAGAAGAATCGCCTTTACACCTAGTTGGATAGAAGCAGTCCAAAACCAAGTCCAAAATAAAAACTAATTTTTATTCGTTGAACATAATTTAAAACTATAACATAAAAATATCTCTTCATCCATCACTGGAAATCCAGATGGCAACTGGAGAGGACTGGTCCTTTGCTCTCATGAGGGCTCAGAGAATAAAAACCCTGTGAAGCCCCTGGCCCTCTGTCCATGTCCCCTTGGCAGGCCCGCAGGCTGCAGCGGGCAGCTGGAGGCTGCAGAGAGTGAACCCTGATGGGGGAAGGCGCCTCTCTGCCTCTTTGGAAAAGCTGATGGGAAACCAGAGGTCACGGAGCGTTGGAGGCCTGGCTGAAAGCCACCAACGAGGTCAAAATGAAACATCTGCTCAAGTCTCCCCAGGCACCTGGCTGGGGGCGAGTGGGAGGAAGGAATGGAGAAAACTGATGCTAAACCTCAAATTAGCACCCTGCACCTTGGCCCTGAAGTGGCCTTTGCTGGCATAGGAGGGGTGGGCCCAGAAATAAATAAGACTGACAAGCTTCAAAGAGGGAGGGTGATAGACCCATCGAAGGACCCTATGTCTTGGCTTGAGCAGGGATGAGCCAGGACACAATGGTTTTAAAAACGCTGGTCTGAGGCCAATGGCATCACAATGCAAACAGCTGACGGGGCCCTGGGGGGGAGTGTGGGGAGGAGCCATTTGTTGGCGGGACTACAGTGGGGATTCTGGCTGAGTATGGGTGGGCTCACCGGGTGACCCCGTTTTTATTTATTTTTTGCGCAAGAACCACAGACCTAGAACTAGGGAGCACGGTCTGCCCTCTACTGGTGATTTTTGGGAATGACCACAACACAGCAGCGCTGGACTTGCAACCCAAAAAAACGGGCCAGGAGAGAACCAGCCCCCAGGGCCCATCAGGCCTCCCAGGACGGTTTGTGAAGGCTCCTCCATCTCTGCCTGGCCTGCAGTGGGGTCTGGGACAAGGAGGGCCTCTGGAGCTCACTTCAAAGGCATCGAGAAGAACTTGTTCCCGGACTTGCAGCGGACCTGCTCGGCGTGCACACGCAGCAGCATCTCAGAGTCTTCAAACTCGTCCACAATTTCCTTAAACCAGGAGACAGAAGAGGACAGTCACTTTAGGGGACTCAGAGGGTGCTGCAAACAAATGCAGCCTACTGAAATCCTTCAGAGGTTGGGCAAGGCTGAAGGGAGACCCAGGGCCACACAGGCTCCAGGCCCTATCAGCTCTGCAACCTCATGGAGTTGATTGATCCTACCACCCCAACTTTGCAGAGGAGGAATGGCTGCTCAGAGCCCTGGAGTAAAGACTCTAATAAAAACCAGGACTGGGACCCGGGTCTGCTGGACCCCTGACCAGAGCTCTTTGTCACTGCTGGCGTGATGGGGCCAAGAGCAGACAGAGGTAGCTGCTTGATGATGGCCCATGGGCTATACCTAGCATGCACGTTTTGTTTGGTTTGCAAAACTGAAAAAAAAGGTAAAAAACTGGTTGCCAACATTAGAAAATGGGGAGATTATCCATAAAAGTCTGGATTTCTGGTTTCTCTGGAAAAAACAGGAGCAGTAGCAACACTAGGCTCACATTCCTGCATGGTAACACTCCCCACTGTCTCCCTGACCCAAGGAGGAGTACCACCATCTCTAAACTGATGGGAAAGTGAAATATTTCACCTACTTTGCACAATATGAGAAAGGCTCTGAAGGTGGATATTCCCTACATCTGGCACGTTTCACTCCTTTCCAATACCAGCCAGGCCCCTGTGGGCATCCCAGCCTTTGACCTCCAGGTAAGGGGCTAGGACTTCAGGGCAGGCCCGCAGCATCCTCTAGGATCAGTGCTCTAAGGCAGTGCTTCTCAGATTTCATCACGCACAGGAATCCCTAAAGATCGTGCTAAGATGCAGTTCTGATTTTTCAGGTCTGGGTTGGGGCCTCGGAGTCTGTAGTGCTAATAAGCTCCCAGGTGCTGCTGGTCCAGGGCTGCACTTTCAGGAGCAAGGTAAGGTGGTGGGGTCTCCGGACACGTCAGTAATTTCCCGGGGATTCAGGTTTGCAAACCTAACCCCCAGGGCCAATCAGCTCCCCACCGAGCTCCTGCTTGTGGAACTCACCTGCAGCTCCCTCAGGCACTGCCCTTCCAGCTGGAGACGAGCATCGCCCACACACCAGGCCAGGCTGATGTGGAATGAAGGGTCCTGCAGAGGAACAGCAGGGAGGTGGGTGGTCACCCAGGTGCCATGGCAGGCCCGGGCATCATGGCAGATCTGTGACAGAGCTGTCACGGCATCCATGCTGGATCCTGGACAGCTCCATGGGAGACTAGACCTTCAACGTCTATCAGTGTCGGTCCCAAGCACCCTCTACAGCAGGGGTGGGGAACCTTTTTCTGCCAAGGGCCATTTGGATATTTATAACATCATTGTGGGCCATACAAAATTATCAACTTAAAAATTATCTATGAAAAAGCTCCTAGATTTATTGGATTTTGAGTTCTGCCTGTGGTTGCCTTGGCAGGGCCAGACCAAATGATTTGGAGGGCCGGATGTTCCCCACTCCTGCTCTAACTGAAGGCTGGTTTTACTCAAGTTAAAGATGGGCCACTGGCGATTACCCGTTGATTACCTGGTAGAAAGTGGTGAGGTCAAATTCCTCCAAGACTCTGTCTACCTCTGAAACCAGGTCTAGGAACTGCGTGTGCCCGGAGGTGACTTCGAGCCCAAGAAAGGTCCTGTGGGGAGACAGAAGTAGAGACCACAGGGCCGTGAGACCACGGGGGCCTCTGAGAACACGAATGTCTGTGATGGGGCGGAGGATGTGACGGACCAAAAGTGAGCAGACTGGACCAGGAGTGCTTTCTCAGCGGTCTCCTGGGCAGGTCGTGTTCCCGATCACCCTCCCCTCCTTGGTGTGGAAGCTGCCCTTCCCTAATTCTAACCACACACTGCCCCTTCCTCCCCAGGGTCTAATAACACTTGCAGGGATGCTTTCATCTGCCACTGCCAAGTCTACAGACCCAAAGCCCCTGCAGCCATCTCTCCTCTCCGTCATCACTTCGGAATCTGGCTCCTTTCTCGAGGTCTTGGCTCCGTGGCACCAGCTACTGTCCCATCAGCACTCAGACACGCTCTCTCTCATCTTTAACAAGCTTCCCTGGAGCGCACACCTTTAGCCAGCCTCCACCGCATTCCCAGGAAAACTTCTTTTAGATGACTTGTCTACCTTCGCTATCATGTCCCTCCTCTGTTCAATCCCTCCAAAGGCTTCCATTACACAGAAAACCCAAACTCCTTCCCTTGACCCTGCATGAGCTAACCCCGCCCAAGTCATCACTTATCACCCTCCCACCTGCTCCCCGGGTCCTACTTCACTGGCCTCCTCGCGTGCCCAGCTCTTCCCTGCCTCTGTTACTTCACTAGCTGTGTCCTCTGCTTGAAGGTTATTTTTCTGGTTTCGTTGTTTTTTTAATCTTCACCCAAGGATATTTTTCCCATTGCTTTTTCAGAGAGTGGAAGGGGGGGGGAAAGAGAGAGAGACATAGATGTGAGAGACATTGATTGGTTGTCTCCCACATGCCTTGACTAGGGCCGAGGACCGAGCCTGCAACCGAGGTCTGTGCCCTTGGCTGAAATCAAACCTGGGACCCTTCAGTCCACAAGCTGATGCTCTAACCACTGAGCAAAACTGGCCACAGCTGCTTGAAGGTTCTTGTGGCAGCTCTTCCTCAGGTCCCCAGCAAACGCCACCGCCCTGGCCACTTCCCTAGTGCCCTCCTAGGAGCATCTGCTCCTGACTACCTTATCATATCACATAGTAGTCATGACCAATCTCATTCACTTTATTACCTGTCTCCCCTGCATCTGTGAGATCCCTCAGGGCAGGCACTGTGTGACCTTCTCACTGGGGACTCTGTTGGTGCTGAACGGATGTCTGCAGCAGAGAGTGAATGAATGAATGAGCCCTCCTCTCAGAGATGCTCAGGGCAGGCAGCTCGGTGAGGGGATCAGACAGGGAGGCTGGCTTTGAAGCCATGATAATAACAACTTCTTATGCTCATCAAAAACTTTTTTGGCTCACTTGAGCCTCACAAGTGCCCAGTGATGAATGCAGCCAGGACAGGCGTGTGATGGCATGGAAAGGGAAGGTCGCAGAGGTGAAGATATGAGCTAAATGTTAAACTGGGGTCAGAGCTGGGTGAGAACCAGGTTTTCTTTCAGTTGCTGGCTTTTTTCACTATACCGAGATGTGTTCTCTACCTCTGCCCCTCCCCTCAAGTTCCCCTATTATATCTCTTCATGAAAGGTTCAGATTTGGGAATGACTGCCTTTGTAGTACTAGAGTAGGTTAATCTTCTGGAAATGATGGGGCCAAGGGGGAAGACCCACCTGGTTTTCTCTTCATTGGTATAAATCTTTACCCGGTCGGCAGTAAAGCAGAATCTGAAAGTTAGAAGAAAAGGCCACATTTCAGGAAGAATAACAAAAAAAATCAGAAAAAAATGGTGTATAGTAAAAAATAGCACTTTGAAGATATAGTTCACTCATCTCACACTCAGTATTGTCACCCTATTATACAGGTGGTAAATTGAACCCTAAAATATTAGAGCTGGACAAGACGCTTTGAATAATCACCCAGTTCAAATAATACATAGTTCACCCAGATGCTAGCAAAAATTTTACCTTGTTGATAAACCATCATTCCATTAAACGATATGAGACGATCTCAACTTACTGATGGGGACTGAGAAAGTCTTACTCATCAAGTAGGGATAAGAGATCATAGAAGGGACAACTGTTCCTTGCAGTTTTAAAAAAGACAATTCTGATCTAGCCTAAGCAATGATAAGAACATTCCCTGTGTGACAGGCACTATAATTATGCCCATTTTACAGACAGGAAAACTGAAGCTTGGTGAGGTTGAATTGGGTGAACTACAATTTGAACCTTAGTCTGCCTGATTCCAAAGTCCTTGCTTTCACCTGTGATGCCTTAGTAGGTTTCTGTTGGTATGAAACACCCACCCACCACTCAGATTAGTTGCATAGGGACCACCAGCTTCTGCCAGGACAGTGCTTCGACTCTGGTTGCTTCTGCTGTGTTCTCTGGGATACCAGGAGATCTCGAAGGGAAAGACTGGCTTGCTGTCCTTTGTGGACCAACTTGGCAAATGCCATTACAGGAAAGGATCATCATTTTACAGCCTGCAGGCCAAGGTCTCACCCCATGGGAGGGAACACAACACCCCAGAGTCTGCATAGAATCGATTGACTTTTGGCTTCTCTATCAGCCTTCGGCCTCCCAATACATCCCTTTTAGGGGAAATGTCAGGGACAGTAGAGCCAACAGGAGACTGGTTAAATGTACAGTTTAGGAAGTGTCCTCCTGGAGTGGACGTTGAATGTTTGTGCCCAACTCTGATGGTTAATTTTATGTGTCAACTTGACCTGGCTAAGGGATNCCAGAGTCTGCATAGAATCGATTGACTTTTGGCTTCTCTATCAGCCTTCGGCCTCCCAATACATCCCTTTTAGGGGAAATGTCAGGGACAGTAGAGCCAACAGGAGACTGGTTAAATGTACAGTTTAGGAAGTGTCCTCCTGGAGTGGACGCTGAATGTTTGTGCCCAACTCTGATGGTTAATTTTATGTGTCGACTTGACCTGGCTAAGGGACGCTCAGGGAGCTGGTGAAACATTTTCTCTTGGTGTCTCTGGGAGGGTGTTTCTGCAAGACAATAGCATTTGAATTGCTAGACTGAGTAAAGCAGGCGGCCCTTCCCCTGGGGTGGGCATCACAGCGGAGGAAGGGTGAATTTCCTCTCTCTGCTTGAGCTGAGATATCATCTTCTCCAGTCCTCTGAATCTAGCATTCAGTTCTTAGGCTCACAGTGGGACTTGTACCATCANGCCCTTCCCCTGGGGTGGGCATCACAGCGGAGGAAGGGTGAATTTCCTCTCTCTGCTTGAGCTGAGATATCATCTTCTCCAGTCCTCTGAATCTAGCATTCAGTTCTTAGGCTCATAGTGGGACTTGTCTCCTCCACCCCGCACTCGACCCCGAATTCTCAGGCCTTTGAACTTGGACTGGACTGAATTACACCACTGGCTTTCTTGGTTCTCTGGCTTGCAGAGGGCAGATTGTGGGACTTCGTGACCTTCATAAGTACATGAGCCAATTCCCGTAATAAATCTCATATTTATATCTGTATCTGTATCCTGTGGGTTCTGTTTCCTCTAGAGAACCCTAATACAGATTTTGGTATGAGAGTGTTTTAGAGGAGCAGGATTTTAAGGATGAGTTTTCTGAATTGGTTCTGGGGTTTCTGGAATTCTGGAGAGCCTGTTAGTCAAGTCAGATATTTGCTGAAGCTATTAGAAAAGAGAGCTGTCCTTCCAGATTAGTGGACAGGCAGCCTGGAAGTCCCAAGTCCCCTCTGAGGCAGCCACCCCCACTCCCATGACCTGCACACAGACAAGGACTCGAAAGCTTCCAGAGCCTATGTGGTGGGCCTAGGTCACAGGGATGAAGTGTAGAGCAGGCAGCTCCAGGAGGTGTTTAGTATTCTAACCTGGAAGTTTGGCTTGCTTGCTGGGTGATTCACCCCACACCAACAGGACATGCCAGAGGTAGTTCAGGACAGGAAGAGGAGCCTTGGAAGGGAGGGAGAGGAGGCAGGGGCACTGGGCACTCACCTCTGGTGGGAGGCCATGCGGTCTTTCAGAGCCTGCACGAAGGGAAGGATCCAATGATGGCGCAGAACCACACTGTGGGACAGGCTGAGGTGGAAGGACTCCATCCTCACCAGCCGGGGCACGTATGTCTGGGCGTGGGGCAGCAACGTGTCAAGCAGGTCCAGGAAGTCCTCCTCGGCTTCATCTGGAGGGGGACAGCGAAGGGGGTGGGCCATTCTCTTAGCCAGAGTGGCATGACTGAGCGGAGAAGCCCAGAAGGCAAAGGCCTTTTTCACTCTGGGTTTTAGGAGAAAATTACCTCGACAGCAGCCTACATCCATGTATTTTAATAATATTTTAATACGTGTTTCTGGTTATAGAAGTAACACACTTATGCCCACTGTAAAGAATTCAAGTAAAAAAGACCTATGCAAAGGAGAAAGCAGGGGTCCCTGGAATGCCATCACCTACAGCAGTGGTATCCAAACTATTGTGATCACACGGGCCATTAGTAAAACAAGCTTGCAAAACGTGTTTTTTTTTTTTAATCCTAATCCGAGGTTATTTTTTCCATTGACTTTTAGAGAGAGTGGAAGGGAAGGAGGGGGAGGGAGGGAAAGAGAGAGAAACATCAATGTGAGAGAGACACATTGATTGGTTGCCACCCGCATGCACCTCGACTGGGGCGGGGGATCAAACCTGCAACCTAGGTACGTGCCCTTGACTGGGAATCGAACCCATGATCCTTCAGTGCTCAGGCGGATGCTCTACCACTGAGAAACACTGGCCAGGGCTATCATCCCCATTTTAGAGATGAGGAAACTGAGGCTCTGAGAAGTCCAGTAACTTACTAAAGGGCACCCAGAGTAGTGGGTCATGGAGCGAGGACTGACTCTGAAGACAGGGCATTTTCTATTTTCTGCCTGCCACCTACTTCTTAGGGTGGGGGTGGGAATTGAACCCTCTTAGAAATCAAGTGTCAGCTGCAGCTGTACTCTGGGATGGCCTTGACACTGCCCTAACCCTCTCTTGCTCACCTCCGCATGGGCAGAGAGAACATGATACCTAGGGTTAATAAAAGCCTTCAGGTAATGCTTTGAAAACTGAAACTAAGTGGACAGAAAAATTCCCCAATTCTTGAACCTGCTTCTCTCTGTGCTGAGTCGATCTTTCCCACCTTCAGTGTCAGAGGCCTCTGACTTCTTCCTCCCAGCTGGAGTCAGCTTTCTCCCATCCAGAGGCACCTATCGGTCTCAGCCACTTGCCTTTCACATGGTACTCACACGGTACGTAGACATGGGTGGCCCAGTTGCCCCGCTCATGGGGAAAGGTGCGCACCCGGCCCCCATGTTTTGCACTGTCATCCTTGGGCCCCTCTTCGGTGCCTGGGAACATGTGCAGCACACTGTCTGGTACCGGCAACCTCTGGCTGGGAAGGGGGCTCTGGCCACTGCAACAGAAATGAAGAAAATGAGCTTTTGCATCCTCCGTGCATTCTCTACCTCCGTACAGGGTGACTGTACATCTATTTCCCGCCAGGTGCTGTAAGCAGCTTCTACAAAGCTCTTTCCCCAGTACTCTCATTGGGGTCTCCTAATGACTCTGAGACAGACCTCAGCAGGGAGCATGGTCCTCCCGGGACAACTGAGCACGCAGCAGTGTGCGTTCAGAGGTCACCTTCCTTAAAGGGGCAGACTGAGCTGGAGCAGCGCTTCCTAGCTCTGTGGTCTCGGGTCAGTCTTGTCCCCTTCGTAGGCCTCAGTTTCCTCATCTGTAAAGTATACTTCTACCTGATGGCGCCACTGTGAGATCAACCGAGATGCTGCTCGAAAAGCACTCGGCAAGCACCAGGCCTGGCACTTAAAAGCCGAGGCTCCACGAAGTAAGAGGCTTCGTTGGTTTTGTTCACTGCAGAGTCCCCCAGTCCCAGCCTGGTGCAGGGTGGGTGCTCGGTGAATATTTATTGGATGAATGAAAAAAACTCTCCACCGCTTTAGCTATTACTATTGCAACTGTGTTAAATGAGGAAGCAGACCTAGGGCGGTACAGCGCTGGGCGCCAGGAGGCAGAGTCAGCGAGCGGCCGAAGCCGCCCGAGAAACACGGGATTCTCGCCTCCGAGCCTTGGCCTAGCTGGGGCTGGGGAGCACTCTCCCCGAAGCTGGGGCTTCGTCCAGGCCTGTGCTGCGGAATGTCCCCCCCCCCACCCCGGGCCCCTTCTCCTTCCCGGCCGCGCCGCGCTCTGCCACCCTCCCCCAGGCACTCCGGTGCCGTCGGGGTCTCGCGTCAACCCGCACCCTCCCCCCAAAGACTCCTTCGCTCCTCACCGAGGGCGGCATCCAGCCCC